TGTGGTGTTGGAGACGACTTTTGAGAGTCCCTTGGACTGCAAGGATATCCAACCAGTCCATCCTAAAGGAGATCAGTCCTGGGTGTTCATAGGAAGGAATGACGTCGAAGCTGAAACTCCAATACTTTGGCCACCCGCTGCAAAGAGCTGACTCATTTGAAAAGACCCTGATGCTGGGAAAGATTGAGGGCAGGAGGAGAAAGGGACGACAGAGGATGAGATGGCTGGATGGCATCACCGACTCATTGGACATGGGTTTGGGTGGACTCCAGGAGTTAGTGATGGACAGGGAGGCCTGGCATGCTGCGGTTCATGGGGTCGCAAAGAGTCGGACACGACTGAGCGACTGAACTGAACTGAAAGCATCTTTTAGATAACTGGTTCTCAACTGGAGGCAAGTTTGCCCATCCCACTTAGGGATATCTTACCTTTGTCAACGCTGGAGGAATTTCTGGTTGTCACCATTTGGTGGTGGTGCGGGTAGCACTACTGGCATCTACCCCCCACTGGAAAGAATTTCTCAGCCTAAAATGTCAATAGGGTTGAGGATGAGAACCCTGCTGCTGCTGATGTATATACATACACACAGATAGGAAGGCACGCATCTATCTGGACCACAGCAGGAGACAAAATCAGCCTCTGAGAACCGGGGTTCAGCTGGTTTAGAATTTGAACCATGAATACAGCTGTAGCGCAGTCTCTGCAGACTCACTTTGGGGGGACAGTGGAAGGGGCTGCTGTACCTGTGGTCAGAGATATGCCAGCCCCTCCAGAAATCTGCAGTAATCCTCTCAATGGAGTGACTCTCCCAACTTGCTCGGGCTGTAGATCTGAAGCCTTTATTATCTCATCCCCTGCATTCTACATAGGTTCCCAGAATGACCTGTGAGCTCCTGCAGGACAGCATCCATGGATTTTCAAATAGCTCTTCTTGGTGCACACTATCACAGCACCTAGCCTTGCTCATAATATGGTTGCTGAACTGAAGTCAATGCTATATTTTCCCCCCAGTATTAGAAATTCTACATGCCTGCATTTGAAAAAAAGAAAAAAAACATATTAAACAGGAAGGAAAGAAAGACACTTCCCTTCTACTATTTCCATCTGGGAAGATCATTTAGCAAAGTCTGTTTCAAAGAGCTGTGCATACTTCTTTTTTGATGCTAATCATGTTTGACTGCCTCCCCCACCTACCTTAGCCTTTTTAGTAGTTTCCAGCAGTAATGCAGTTCACTCTTGCATTTCATAAAAGGGTCATAGTCTTGGTTAATGTTTTATAGACACAAATGCCCATAATCAAAGCCCAGAGCAAAGTTTGCCTGTCTTTCTCTGTACAACTCTTTAAAAACTCAAGCTCTATCTTTCATTTATTGGCTAATGAATTTCCCTGTAAGGGATAGTTTGACTCTGCTCAGCTTTAATTATAACAACAAAAAAATTCATTTAGGCTTTCTGCCTGCTCTCCATGTTCAAAACTATTCTATAGAATGATTGAGAAGGAACAAAGCAATTTTGGAATAAAAGCAATTTTCCAGAATAAAATGTTCTGGGCAGGCTCAGTATCTTCCTGTTCTTCACATTCCTAAAACATAAGAAATGTAAGACCTCATCTCAAACAATCCAAGTATCTTCAACTCCACTTACAATGTAAATCAAAGCGTTATTCTTCACCCTACAAACTACTTATTGAAAGACTCAACCCAAGATTATTTTCATTCAAAACACCTACTCTCAAACCATTTACATTTAGATGGTATTTACACAGCTTTTCAGGAACCAGGAGGACTTTTTAAGAGTTAAGGAGGAATGGTGAATGAGCCCAACCTCTTAATTTTGCAGTGAGGTAATTGAGGTTCAGAAGTCAATTTGAACTCTCCGAACTATGTAATAACAATGGCTAGGACTTATCAAGGGCCCACAGCTTGTCATATCTTCAGCACTTCTACCATGTCTGAGCCACCACAATATCTTGCTGGGATTGGTGCAGGAGCCTCCTAAGTCCTGCTTATACTCTACTTAGGTCAACAAAAAAGTCCTCGCTGAGGTTCCTTAAAAAGCTAAAAGTAGAGTTACCATATGATCCAGCAATCCCACTCCTGGACAAGTACCTGGAAAAGACGAAAAGTATATTCCAAAAAGATACGTGTACCCCAATGTTCATAGCCGCACTATTTACAATGGCCAAGACACAGAAGCAACCTAAATATCCATTGATAAATGAATGAATAAAGAAGATGCATTATGTATATACAATGGAATATTGCTCAGTCACTCAGTCGTGTCTGACTCTTTTTGACCCCATGAACGGTAGCCCGCCAGGCTCCTCTGTCCCATGGAACTGCCCAGGTAAGAATACTGGAGTGGGTTGCTTTCCTCCTCCAGGGGATTGTCCCGACCCAGGGATTGAACTTGTGTCTCCTGCATCTCCTACAATGGCAGGTGAATTCTTTACCACTGAACCACCTGGGAAGCCCACAATGGAATATTACTCGGCCATAAAAAGAATGAAATAATGCCATTTGGAGCAAAATGGATGGACCTAGAGATTATCATAGTAAGTGAAGTAAGTCAGACAGAGACAAATATCATGTGATATCACTTATCACTTATGTGTGGAATCTAACAAAAGATACAAACGAACATTTGTATTTACAAAACAGAAACAGACATAGAAAATGAACTTATGGGTACCAAAGGAGGAAGGGGTGGAGAAGGATAAACTAGTAGTTTGACTTAACAGATACACAGTACTATATATAAAATAGATAAACATCAAGGTCCTACTTATAGCACAGGGAACTATATTCAATAATGTGTAATAACCTAAAAGAGAAAAGAATCTGAAAAAGGATAGCTGAACCACTTTGCCATACACTTGAAACTAACACAATGTAATATAATCAATTATATTTCCATTCTTAAAATGATTTTAAAATAATAATAAAATAGAACTACAAAAAGAATCCCGACAAATTCCCCAGTGCCTGATACACTGCAGGCCTTCAGGATGTTTGTGGATTTGTAAAGTGTTTACTATATGCCAGGTACTAATCTAACGAAGGTATGGGAACCAATTACCTAATCTTCCCAATAACACAAGATGAGTGCTATCATCATCACTGCTGTCATCTTGGATTCACAGATGAAGAAACTGGGGCACAGAAAAGTTTAGTAACTTGTCCAAGATCACCCAGCTAGTTAATCATAGAGCCAGGATTTGAACCTAGGGCACAGGCTCTTTAACTACCACAATGTACTGTGTCCCTCTTAGCTTAGCTAATGACGAAAAAAAACTTCAATGAGTCTTCCCTATACCAAACTCTCAGAATTTGAAATGTATCGAAGTGCGCTTTAAAAACATTAATTGTTTCCTATGACTGCCTAACATTTTAAAATCATCAATAAGGTGTGATTTTGAGCTAAGACTGGTAAACAAAAGCAAAAGTGTGAATCACAACTGTGTTGCACTTCAGTCTCGAGTTCAGAACACAAAGGGTATGACTGCGGCTTACAGTCGTGTGCAGGTAATTCTCCCTACTCAACTGAGATTACCATGATTAGCTCTGGTCCATAAAGGGAAAGCTAAGACACAAAAGCCTCAGTGATGTTCCAGGCTACACAGTCAGCAACCATGGCAGGAAAAGAGTCTCTCAGGGCCCCTCTGAGGTCACACTTGTTCTCTGATTATTAAGTATAAAACACCAGGGTGATTCACACAATGGAATGTTTAAGCCAAGATGTCACCGAATACAGGGTATGTTGATACAGCTTTATCTGAGAAGTTACATAATCTTCCTAATGTGGAAACACCATAAAGGAATTTGTGACTTGGAATGAAGACAGGTGCACTCCCTGGGAATCACTCCTCAAGGGGTATCAGGAGATGTTCAGTGAGAAACCCACTCCCCTAGATTGAGCAGGTGACTTGTAAAAAACAAACAAACAAAACAGCCCAATGAAGGCTTTCTGAGGGCAGGCAGTGTCCAGTTCAATTTGATGAGACTTAACCAGACCCTGGCTTGAAAACAGTCTCTGGGGACCCCATCTTTTCGCAGGGCCGGGAGGTCTAGTCTATAGTCAGTCTCCTGTTATATAAAAGTCCCTACTCCGAGTCCTCTCTGCCTCTAGCTTTTAGGTCAAAATATTTACTTATGCAAGCCCAGAGGCCTTTCATTATCTTTGTACCCTGGAAGGCTCGAAACGAATCTCTTCTAGCACTTCGTTGAAATTCTTTGAAAGAAATCTCGAGCTCTGGAATCCACCTCCACCTCCAATCTTCCCTGGATCTCGGCCTCCACTGTCCCACCTGCCCCCAGGCGCAGCCAGAGAAGGAAGGGGGTGACCGGAGGGGAGGGGCGGGGATGTCACAAGCACCTGTCACCTGGCAGGCCCCGGCCTCACTTCCTCACCCCCGGCACCACCCACCCTGCCGCAGGAGAGGACCGACCAGGCGCCCGCCCCCTCGCACGCCCCGACACTGGCAGGCCAGTCCCTCCCGCCCCAGCCTCCAGCCGCCGTCCAATGGCCGAGGGGCAGGGCAAGCTGAGCAAGCCGCGGCAGCCCAGCCGGGTCTCCGCCCTGTTCCCGGTTCCCGAGCCGGGCCCCGGCGGCCTTTAAATGCCGCCCTAGGCCGACACAGCGCGGCCCTCGCCACCTTTTTCCTCGGGCGGCGGCAGCGGCAGCGGCACCCCGAGGAAGAAATCAGCTTAGACTCTGCAGCTCCGTCCCGGCCGCGGCGGCCACCTCCGACCTTAGGGCCCGCGCCGCCTCCCCCGCCTCCCCCAACTCCTCCCCCTCCCCCGGGCCCCGCCGGCCAGGTCGGCGCCGGGCCCCCGGGCGTGCGCGCGCGCGTCCCCGCGCGTGTGTGCGCGCCCCAGCCAGCCTCGGACCCGCGCCCCCGCCCGGCGCAGGACCGCCCCGGGATCCCCGCCCGCGCGCCGCGTCCCACGTCCCCCGCCGCCCGGCCGCCAGCCGCGCACCCCGCCGCGCTGCGCGAGAAGATGGCGGGGTCGGTGGCCGACAGCGATGCAGTGGTGGTGAGTGCGGGCGAGGCGCCCCCTTCCCGCGGCCCGCACGGCCCCGCCGCTGGCTCCCGCCTGGCGGAGGCCCAGCCCCGCGCCCCCGGCGGGAGAAGGCGCCCCAGTACCTGGTTAGAGGGAGCCGGCTGTGCGCGACCGGAGTAGGGGGAGGGCTGGAGGGGTGCCCCGCGGCAGGACCAGTGGCTGAGTGGCGGTGTTGGGGGCGGCCTGCGGGTGGGGGTGAGCTACAGCCCACTCCGCGCCGTGCAGCCACCAGCCAGGTGTGTGTGCGCGGGTGTGAGTGTGTCCGGCGCGCGCGCCCCGTGTCCTCCGCTACCCCTCCCCCCCCACGACATCCCGGGGATTCCCCCTTCGAAATGGGTCCTAGCCAGGGGCTAGCGGGAGAAGTTGAGCGCGGCTGCTGCACTCCAGCCACGTCCTGGAGGACAGGCCTGGGCGACAGGTTCTAGGGGCGTTTGCAATTGGAGAGGAGCCTGCCCTCCTCCGGAGCGGGGCTCTGGTTCCCCAGTGGGCCTCGACCTTCATTTTGATCTAGATCTGAAAGGTCTGGGGAGCATCAGACGCCTAGCTACCTGATGGAAAGGACGGGTTTGGTTCCGGGGTTTTCTGCGGGTATTCGGTGGACTGAGCCTATGTTGTGGGGAGGGATGCTGGATTCCTCCAAATTTGTATAGGTTTTTCCCCGCTCCCGCTAACACCCACCTCCTAAAGCCTTTGGAAAGCCAATCTGTGTGCTTCTATTTTTAGAAACTAGATGATGGGCATTTAAACAACTCCTTGGGCTCTCCAGTTCAAGCCGACGTGTACTTCCCACGATTGGTAAATGATTTTGTTCCCTCTTCGGTGTCTGCCTGTACCCTCTTGTTTCTAATTTCATTTTCAAATGGGTCAAGTCCTAAGGAACTGAGGGCTTGGCTCTTCCCTAACAGACTGTAAACTTTGTTTCTGCTCTCATTCTCTATAGATCGTGCCGTTTTGTGGGCATATTAAAGGTGGCATGAGACCAGGCAAGAAGGTGTTAGTGATGGGCATTGTAGACCTCAACCCAGAAAGGTAAGGCAGATTCCTTGTCTCCTATGATGCTGTCAAAAATCTTGGCTTTCTCTGCCCACTCAAGCCAAATGAAAAATAGGGAGACAGAGTTTGGAGGAAATAAAAGGGTGGCTTTAATCCTCAGCCAGAGGAGGGGAGACACAGCAGGCTAGAGCCTCAAGAACTATGCACCCCTTCCATGAGGAATCAGGGGTGGGGGGGTGGGGGTGATTATATAGATGAGGGAGTCGGTGATGAGGAACAAAGGTGTGAAGGTCTTCTATTCTTCCTTTTGGATCATTTCAAAAACAGTCAAAGACTGGCCATCAGGTAGCCCAGTAGTTGGGTCCATTGTCTTGCATAAATTGTACTGTGGCCTCCTTTCTGTAATGCGAAAAGACAGGAAAAGAACTGTGAGGGGTCGTCTGCAAAGAGAGTGCTGTAAAGGTGAGCCCCAGACAGAATGTGATCAGCATATCAGGTTAGTCTTGATTACCTACTACAGATCAGGAACAGTTAAAGTGAAAAAAAGAGCTCAGAAAAGGGCAAGAGAAAAAACAACTTTTTCCTCTTTTTTTCCTCTACAACACTTACACCTGTCCAGCAGTTACGAGGTGCTGCTCACTCTTGTTGTAGCTTTCTGCTGCTCTTCCAACCCCTGTGGCCAGTGTTACTGGTTGCAAGTGCCAAGAAAGTACTATGTTCCCATGAAAAGAATGTGTATGAATCTCAGTGGTCATTTCTGTAGACAGCTATTTATATCAGAGATTATAAATATAGACCCAATCATTTTCCCTTTGACCCTTAGGGAGGCCAGAGGACTTTTTTTTTTTTTAATGTTTTTCAAACATAGTGCTTGGAGTAAGAACTATCAATATAAATGAGAACCAAACTACAAGATATTGTTTCCCTTGGTCAATTTCCCCTGGCTGTTTTTGAGTCCTCGGAAATGGATTAAAACACAGATGTGTGGGTAGTTTGGGATATCTGAAATGTCTACAGTTAGTTATTTTCATCTCTGTCAAAGTTTTCTCCAGGGCCACCTCCTGTGGGTAACAAAATAAACTAGATTGTAATCCTTCTTCTCCATAGTCTATCACACCCCCACCCCTGCCCCGTGGAGAGTGGTAGCCCATTAAAAACTGACAAATCCAGAGAGGAAGAAGGAAATGGGAGCCTGGGTCTTTGTTAAATGTTATTTTGCTCAACCGTGAATAAATGAGATGATTTTCTTTTCAGTTTTGCAATCAGCTTGACCTGTGGTGATTCAGAAGATCCTCCCGCCGACGTGGCGATTGAACTCAAAGCAGTGTTCACAGACCGGCAGCTACTCAGAAATTCTTGTATATCTGGGGAAAGGGGTGAAGAACAGTCAGCGATCCCTTACTTCCCATTCATCCCAGACCAGCCATTCAGGGTGAGTACCTCGAGTGCTTCAGCTCCAGCCATTGGCAGGATGGTGATATTCTCATGTAAGATGTGCCAAGAGTGCTTTAAGCAGCCAGAATTTTTTCATGTCCAGGAAATTTGTCACCTGATGGTGAAAAAAAGAAAAACGATCAAAAGAGCTCTGTTTGCCGATATGAATTAACAGTCAATAGTAGCTCTTGGTTCTGTTTAGCCAATACATGTAAATAAACCCATATTTACATGTCTAGATTGTTAATAAATGCTTCTCTGTGTAGTATTCAATATAGTACTAGGCATTTAATAATTGTCCTAAGATAGCTATTTAATAAATACTAATAAATACCTAGAATTTCTTAATTTTTTCTCAACCACTAAGTAGTACCAGGCCATATCAGTTATACCTTTTTAAAGAATAGAGTGATTATTATTTTATTTTCTCTTGTTCCCTTTGCTAATGAGGACTAGCCATGCCGTTGCTCCCCTGGGCTTCCCTGGTGGCTCAGATGGTAAAGACTCTGCCTGCAAGGCAGAAGACCCAGGTTCCCTAGGTGGGGAAGATCCTCTGGAGGAGGGCATGGCAACCCACTTCAGTATTCTCGCCTGGAGAATTCCATGGACAGAGGAGCCTGGCAGGCTACAGTCCATGGGGTCATAAAGAGTCAGCCATGACTGAGTGACTAATGCTGGGTTAAGCAGCCTCAGTCTACTTCATTGTCATAGGCTGTGTGGCTGATAGATTCCTTCCCTTGGGCCGGAATGAGTATAGATTTGCTCCCCACTATCTGTCAGGCAATAAGCACAGCCCAAACTTCGATTCCCATCATATAGCACAAGCCGCACCTTCCTCTATGAAGGACAATGTCAAGTAAAAGATGCAAGTCAGTAATGTGTTAGAAAAGAATTTACTGACATGTCAGACCTGGTGATGAAGTGTCTGCATTATACTTTGTTGTGCAGTCGCTTCAGTTGTGTCCGATTCTTTGCAACCCTACAGACCGTAGCCCGCCAGGCTCCTCTGTCCATGGATTTTCCAGACAAGAATACTGGAGTGGGTTGCCATGCCTTCCTCCAGGGGATCTTCCCGACCCAGGGATCGAATCCATGTCTCTTGCATCTCCTGCATGGGCAGATGAGTTCTGTACTGCTAAGCTACCAGGGAAACCCTACACTTTGTTAGCATACATCATAATAATGACAACTTGGTTAAAAACTCCCTGTTTCATGTATACCTAACAAGCCAGAACTACCCTTAACCTGTTGCTCCTCATCTAGAAATGTACAAGGGCCTTATGAATAAGTCATAATTTTTCTTCCCATCTTGCAGTCTTGGGGGGAAAGAAGAATCTATGACATTCACATCAGTGATAGAATAGAGACTAATTGCCTTTCTAGCATAGCCTGGGGAAGGCACCCCTACCCTTCTCTAGAATGATAATGACCCTGAGGCTCCCCTGAACTGTGACAGTTTCTTAATAGTGACTCTTAATGCAGAGCTCATGAGTGAGTAGCCAAAGCTTCTGCCCAGTGGAATAATGCTCCCCCACAACAAAACTGAGATGGAATCAGCCCTTCTTGGTGACATAATCTTAGTAATAATATGCATTAAATGTGACTAATATCACATATGGAGTCTCTCCTTATATGATGAATGCAAATGCTTTTAATAAATACATAGTGCAAACCCAGTGATTAAACTCTATGGTGAATTCCTTAAGTTAGAAAAAAGAGGAAGAAAAAGCTTTTACCATATGGAATCAGTATTTTTGTTTGGCTTAACAAAGCCTTGTTAATTACACATCCTTGGTCCAATGGTAATTACTGTGTATCCTTCTCCGCTTAGTGTTTATCTTGTTTGAGTGTCCAGACTGTTATTACATGCTCCTAATGGGTACCTGCTCTGCCTTGTGAGGGGCTTCTCTGAAGTTGGGATAGAATTGTTCAGGGGATGAGGATGGAGGCATTAAGTGCCATATAGATAAATCTGTACCACTTTATATCACTTTCTGGCATGCAATGAGAAGGGAGAAATAGTAAAGCAATTTTAAATCCTTCAAGGACATTGAATAGTGTAAAGCAATGCCTCCCAAAGTGTGTCCCCTCATTCCAGCAACACCAGAATCATCTTGGAACTTGGTGGAAAAGCACATTCTTAGACCTTACCCTTGACCTACTAAATGGAAAATTTGGGGGGGCGGAGCCCAGCAGTCTGTTCTAAAGCCTTCTGTCTGATTCCAGTGCACTGTATAGAGTTTGAGAACTACTGAAGATGTTGCCTTTCTCCAAAATGAGGTATTTGTTCATTTTTCCTAGCAGTGTTCATTGAAATTATGAACTGAGGGATTTATTTTGTTTCTTCCAGGTGGAAATCCTTTGTGAGCACCCACGTTTTAGAGTTTTTGTGGATGGACACCAACTTTTTGATTTTTACCACCGCATTCAAACGTTATCTGCAATCGACACCATAAAGATCAACGGAGACCTCCAGATCACTAAGCTTGGCTGATGTTTAAACCACGTCTGTTTCAAAGAGCTTCAGGTGCCACAACTGCCTGACTGTTGATCTGGAAGAAGTGTCCTAGCAAGGTCTAAAGACTTGAAAAGAAAAAGGCAGATTTCACTGTCTCTTCTTTCTGTGCAGTTTAAACCCAAAATGACTTCATAAACCACTTCAACGGTGGTTTGCCCTTAGGAAGCTATCGGAACTAAGACACCGAGCCATTATTCCCAGAACAAAGTAATACATTTATGCTGGATTTTATTCAGACTAAACTGAGATGGATTTGTGACGATTTGTGATTCAGTAGTAAGTTATTCATCTTTTCAAAGCAAGGTGATATTTAGAACAAAAGTGCTAAAGACTTAAAACAACAGCAAAGACGGTACACAGAAATCAACTCATTTCTGCACTGAAGTGGAATTGTGTAGCACAACCAACATTTTAGTCAGGGTATTTAACATAGAATGTAGGTTGTTCAAGGTTTTTTTTTTTCTTTTTGCACAGCATAATGTTAACTCAGATTTTTTAAGCTTTCTTGTAGTTATTTATTTCTACTCAGTGTATGTGTTAGAGATGATTAATGTCTCAAGAACAGCTTGTTATGAACTTTTGAATGTACAATTAATTATCTTAGGTCTGAGTGGGGAAATTACCTATTACAGTCATGAGAAAGGTGAGTTTCTACCTTAAAGAGTTGAGTCTTATCCTCCTACCCCTAAACTTAGGATCTCTTGATATAAATTGCTGTAAGTGCTTTTGGGAAAACTTTGCAACAGTTCAGCAAGACTGCTTTTCAAGTTATTGTTGGTTATGTAAAATTCTACTTACATTGCTTCTTCTCCATACTGTGAAATTGGCACAGAATTGGCTTCCTTAAGACTAATTAACTACTTTTCACTGGATCTACATATTAGCTCATCAAGTTGTTAAGCTAATTGAAAACACATTAAGAGGTGATTGCATTGATAGTTTTAAAAATGGACTATTATGTACATTTTTAAAGGTATAGTGTGAAAATGATTTGGGAATGCAATGGAAAGCAGAAGCAAATGGCCCCAAATAACTTACTTGGAAATAATTTTTATCAACTTAAGCTGTTAGCTCATTGTATCACTTTTATTATGTGGCCCTCACCAAATCCCTAAGCAATGCCTTTGGAGCTTCAGAGTAGAAGATGCTTCCTACTGTGTGGGCTCTGCTGAGATAGTACGATAAGACAAGATCCAGCCTAGGAAATGATCCAGTTAGTTTATCTGAAAAGTTAACTCCCAGGACTCGAGGTCTTTGAGTCCAGCCAATAGTGTGAATGCTCCAGTGAAGCTCTGGGAGTTTCCCTGTACTTGTGGAACTGATTAGACAGCAGGAAGTCTCCAGAAAAAGCCTGCAGTGATGCACACATCACTGCAAGGCCGGGGATGGTTGGAGTCCTGGGTGCTGGATTTCATAAACTGCATTGACCTTGGAGAGAAGGACCCTTGGCATTGCTCTGGTCAGCTAGTTGGGGGGGTAAGGGGGTGCTGGGGTGGGGGTGTATTTATATATAATTTAGGTTTTATTTGTACAGCATACTGCGTCTTGTTATGACACGTCCTTGTCCTGCTTTGCTTTTGAGTTTTTTTACACAACATGCAGAGGCACTGAAGTGGCCACGTCATTTTCACGTGTCAAGAATGTAGACAGTGTTTCAGTACCAAAGTTTAAGAAAAAGCAAACTAAAATTGTGAATTTTTTTTATAGGTGATATATTTGGATCCTCCTCAGCTTTGAAACTGTTTAGCACAGTTCCATTGTGTTATGTAAGAAGATGCTTTATCCAACAAGACTGGCTGAACATTGAAAAGCTTTATGTCCCAGCTGACTTAACCAGCCATATTCAGCCAGGAGGGCTGTGCTCTGGCTCCGGGTATTTTGGAGCCCGTGACTAACCTTGTGCAGCCACTAGATTTTGTCAGTTGTTTGTAGAGACACCTAGAGGGCACCCTGAAATATATTGGTAGGGGTTTTGATTCTCCTTGTGGTAGAAGACCCCCCACACACAGGAGGTTTTCTTTGAGTGGGCATCCATTCCCACCCACTGCATAATTCAGCAGAAACTAGAGGAGTTGGGGGTGTAACTGTTGGAACTAACAGTGTTCTCTCTACCTATCAGCTAACTGGTTAGCAGCCAAGCCCTTAGGCAGCTTAGTGCAAAGATACACTGTTAACCCTTCATTGTTCTGTGAGGTCAGTGAGAACCTCTTGGTTAAACTTAACTGAAATTTATCTGAATGATGTGATGGTTTGATTCAGGTATAATTAAGTTCACGGGAGGCTAGTCCAGCTGTATTAATTACTAGCTGGAAACTGTTCACATCCTCTCATCAGCATGTGAGGTCTAAGGTGGGAATTCAGGATGAAAAGTGCAATTTTAAGCTTCACAGGAAAGCATTTGGGTGTGTAAGGTGTTATTTCTGACCAGAGCCCTAATTCTGCAATATGACCAAAACCAAGGAACATAAATAACAATCAGGCTCTGGGGGAATAATAGGCAGGCTTTAGACAATCTGTTCATTTCTGCATCACAATTGGAGTGAATGTATGTATCTTAAAAGTTAATAGAAGTGACTTCTACTTTCTGGGCTATCCCAGAATTGTCTTAATTTTTTTAAAAATTTGAAACCCCATTTCAAATCATGCCAGTCTTAGTTCAGAACCTCCAAAGGGATCATTCTTAGCATTGTTGATGATTTATTAAAATGGCAACTCCTTTCATTTGTATTAAAAAGAAAATATCTAAAAAGAGGGAGGGAGCCCTTTTGCCTTGAGAGAAACACCCTTGGCATTTTCCAGCTACATTATTAATGTAGAAATAATGTTCCTATGATGACATATTTTCAAAGAAACACTTTCTTATTTACTGCGTGGTGTAAAATGTTGCTAAATGTGTTTTAGCGTTATGATGTCACTGCTGAAAGTATTTGCACTATAATAAAGGAATTTTCTACAAAATGGTTTCCCATTTATAAGGTGCTAAGTTTGGTACCAAATGTGATGTACTTGGGCTTCCCGGGTGGCTCAGTGGTAAAGAATCCTCCTGCCAATGCAGGAGACACAGGAGACTCAGATTCAATCCCTGGGTCGGGAAGATCCCCTGGAAAAGGAATTGGCAACCTACTCCAGTATTCTTGCTTGAAAAATCGCATGGGCAGTGGAGCTTGGCAGGCTACAGTCCATGGGGTTGCGAAGAGTCAGACAGGACTAAGCGCACAGGCACGTGAGGTACTTAGCATGGACCATCTGGTAGCGCAACCCACCCTCACTTGCACACACTCACTCCAAGACCACTTGTTTCTGTGTTCCTCATTAATAAACTGATCAAGGGAAGGAAAGTGTCTGAGGGGGGCGCCTCAGAGACCTAATGAGTTGTGTGTGCAATGCATTATTTTAAAATACAATTTGCATATGGTAAATTCACATTTTTTCTTGATGTGCAGTTTTGTGAATTTTAGTACATGAATGGATTCACATAACAATCACCTCAAACAGGATACAAAATTGTCCCATCAACCCCCAAACCCCCCTTGTGCTGTCACTTCATGGTTAAATGTGACCTCCACTCCCAGGCCTAATCAGGCAACAACTGACCCATTCCACCTGCCTATAGTTTTACCTTTTCTTGAATGTCATATAAAGAGAATCATATAATCCTTTGGGATTGGTTTCTGGCATAATGCATTTGAGGTTCATATTGTGTGTATTAAGTTTTTCCTTTTTATTGCTGAGTAGTATTCCATTGTGTGGACGAATCAGGTTCTTGATTAATTCACCTGTTAAGGATGTAGTGGGTTCTTAATAAATTATTAATATAATCTTATTAGCACAGTGTATATACAAAAGCAAGATTGTGTATACAATCTTTCCTGTGGTTTAAATGATTAAGAAGGAAACTTGATCTCAACTATTATGACTACAAATAAAACTGGCTTATAGAAGTTTGCCTAGCTTTAGTTATGGGTGGTTTAGGAAAGAAAATTTACTCAATGTGCTGGATTTAGGGTACCTACTTATTCCTTCAACTGAGTGACTTCACTTTCTGTGGCTCAGATGGTAAAGCATCTGCCTATAATGTGGGAGACCCGGGTTCAGTCCCTGGGTCGGGAAGATCTCCTGGAGAAGGAAATGGCAACCCACTCCAGTATTCTTGCCTGGAAAATCCCATGGACAGAGGAGCCTAGTAGACTACAGTGCATGGGGTTGCAAAGAGTCGGACACGACAGTGACTTCACTTATTCCTTAGTTGGTTTTACTAATTCCTTCCTTTATTATTATTTTCTTTTTATTTTTTAAGGAAGCAAAGCCATGAGGCTGGTCTTTGTCACAGTCTTTTCAGTGAAGTATAGGCAGGGAAGGGCTTCCCAGTTGTCGCTAGTGGTAAAGAACCGGCCTGCCTATGCAGGAGATATAAAGAGACTTTGAGTTTGATCCCTAGGTTAGGAAGATCCCTTGGAGAAGGGCATGGCAACCCACTCCAGTATTCTTGCCAGGAAAATTCCATGGACAGAGGAGCCTGGTAGGCTACAGTCCATGAGGTCACAAAAAGTCGGACACGACTGAAGCGACTTGGCATGCGCATACATAGGCAGGGAAAGCCCTGTCAAAGTGGGAATAATTTGCTGAGGCTGCTGGGCAGAGATAGGAGAACTTCCTCTGCCCCCGTGGGATACAACGGTATCCTTGTCCCATGACAGCATTTTGAATTAGACAGTCTAGAAGATTTTTACAACTGGAGTCTCTGAGTGCCACAGACACCTAAGAACCTTTATTCATTCAGCAGGTATTTGAATTGCCGTTCTAGATACTTGAACACATCAATGAATAAAACAGACCCTGGTGCTTTTAAACTTCCATATGGTGAGGAATCACCCAAGAAGCCTCCTTAGAGGGTAAAAGTCCATTCTCACCCTGGGAAATTATGTTTCAATGGGTCTGGAGTAGGTCTCAGGGGTTTGTATTTTTAAAAAACATCC